ATGAAATATTTATGTGGTTTCTTTTTTAAGATATTCCTGATTCCTAAAATTTTTTTTTTTTTTATTTTTATGTTTTATTCTTTATTTCTTTTAATATTAAATTTTTAATTTTTATTTATTAAGTTCATTTTATTTTTTAAATTATTTATTTTATTTTATTTTATTTTATTTATTTATTTATCTATTTTATTATTTGTTATTATTTATTTTCTTTAATTAATTAATTAATTTATTTATTTATTTATTTTTTTTGGGGGGAGGTCTCATTATACCCGTTTTTTCCGTGCTGGTCCGGTGATATATCGATGTTTTTGTTGGTCTTTTTGTGATAGAAAAAAATTCAGGCCTAACTATCATCACAGATTATAGGTTTGTGTATTTATTGTGTGTCAAGTTTTAGGCTTAAATTTCAATAGTTTCGATGGAAAACACTTTCCCACGTGACATGGCCAAAGATCCAAGATAGCCGCCACGGAGACCAACTTTTTCATAAAACACAATCAATTCCGTCATAATTCTTCTGAATAGTTTATAATTAGCCTCAGTCACCTTTAAAATTGCAAGAAAATCATTAATTAGATTCCCAGTAAATTCCTTGCAACATGTACACATCCCCTTAAAGATAATAATGCTTATGGGATCACTGAAGCAAAGATCTGAAATGAGCCTAGACGAGGGGACAAAGTTGGGGGGGGGGGCAGAAAGAGGAGACGAAAGCAGACTTCTGAACATGGTTAGAGAGCAGGAAAGGGGATAAAAGGAGAAAATTTTAGAGAAGAAAATGTTCCCGTGGCTGTCAGGTTTCGAAACCGGGACCTATTGAATGAGAGGCGAACACCGTAATGCCTAAACCACGAGAGTCCTCTCTCAACTTTTCTGCCTCTGTTCCAGTTCATGACAAATCTATCACGTCCATTACCAAATGGAAGATTGGAATCGAAAATTATGTCTAATCTTTTACCGTACTTATGTACAGATTGTTGCTCGTGTTGGTTACGTTGAGCGGGTGGTTGGCGAGTGCTCTGGTGTGGTTTGCTTCTTCTTTCCGATCAAACATAATATTATATCGTCCTGATCTCTCCTATGATCCTTTCTTGTGTTTGTTAGCACTTACAATCTTCGGCATCTATATTATGACCTTATTGTGTTGTAAGTGCCTTAAAACGCTTACTAAAACTAGATTAAAGTTACGTTGCTGTGTTCCTCGCTAAGCATAAGATGTTCGGGATGTGCTCTGTAAGAAATGTAGCCCAGAGGTACCGTGCTCACCTTCTATTCCAAAAGTACCGGGTTTCAAACCTGTTTAGTGCAGGCATGACCAATTATCACTTCCTTCTGTTGTGTTGTTTGGGTTCCTTAGATCATTGTTTGATTCATAACAAGACGTGAGACACTCATGGGGGTAACGGTAAGAAACACTGAGGCAGCCATCTTGGTAACCCAGACTGCAACAGTTTATTTTTTTTTAAATTGATTACAATATCATATCCGGATCGATATCGATTATTATTATTATTATCGAATATGACACTTCACATCCTCCTCCACCCCTTCTTCATTTACCCCCTTCTATTTTACAAGCGGAAGGCGCGCTCCCTCTCCATCCTTACTTCTTTCTCCCCCCTCTTCCCCCCCCCATTCCCACCCCTCCTCTCTCCCTCAGGAGTCTTTTTATCACATATCCCTCTCTATGCTCCTTTTCAAATTTTCCCCCATTGGTAATGGTTTCTTTGTATTCACTCCTCAATCAGCTAATTAACATTGCAATTGTTTAGATAATAATTACTGAGGCGTGGAGGAATCCTAAGATGTGAAACCGGCCGAGAAGTGGACAGACAAGCAGAGAAAGGTAGGGGGCTCTCGTGGCCTAGAGATTAAGGAGTTGGCCTCTCATTCAAAGGTCCCGGGTTCGAATCCGGGTAGCGACCGAAAAATTTTCTTCTCTAAAATTGTCTCCTTTCACCTCCTTTCCTGCTCTCTAGCATTGTTCTGTTGTCTGCTTTCATTTCCACTTTCTGCCCCCACCCCCTCACCTCCTTTGCCCCCTCCTCTGGGCTCCTGACTCTTTCTGCAGCCTTTCTACTGCTACTCCTTGGCTCCTCCTTACTGCTGGCTTTCTGCCACACCCCTGATCTTCTGGTAGGAAAGATCTACACCTAGCCTTCTCGGACAAGGGCGAAAAATCTCGGAGGGCTCGTGTGCAAGTTGCGCACGTTAAAGATCCCGTGGTGGTCTAAAATCGATAAGAGTAGGCTTCGGCCGCCACCCGGGAAAAATTCAAAATTTCCTACCAACTGAAAATATTAGGTGTGTCCCTCGCGCTCATTATGATCTATGCAGTTGCGAGCGCCGTAAAGCACTTACAAAAACAAAAACAAAGAGAAAGGTGTCAGTCTCTGACGGTGTCCGCACTATTCCGTCATTAGAGATGATGATGTCTGTGATATATTTGTCTGTATGCTTTGTTGTGTGATGATTGCTAGTGTGCCTAATTCTGCACGTGCATGCCCAACAAACGACAATGTCACTGAGTGCACGGAAGGAATCTGGCGCTCTGTTTGCTTAGTTGACATCGAGCTGGACTGGTGCGTATGACCCTTGTTCGGATCCCCAGTGGGGGCCTTCTTGGATTGTTTATGGAGTTTCCACCCCTACACACAAACACTTACACACACGTATGTTAGTCCCATCAGAAATGGGCGCTGAATTCTGACGTCTCGTTGTTGTTTTTTTAAAATAACGTTACAGTGTTGATAGTGACGTCGGTAGTCTAGTGGTTAGGCTACCAGACCTGTACTCGTGAGAATGCGGGTTTGGGGGTTCGAGCCTCAGCTCGGACCAACATTGTATCCTTGGAAAAGACACTTTACACGAAGTCCCCATTTGGAGGTCCTGTCTCTAAAATAAACTAATAGTGTAGATAGGGGCATTAAACCTACACCATTCAACCATTTTTTTCACATTGTAGAAACATCTCAGTGAACACCAAAATGAAAGTCCTGAAATGCTATGCTTGGTCAACCCTTCTATATGGCTGTGAATGCTGGACAATAACTAAAGACAGTGAAAATTGAGGGCAAGCGAAGCAGGGGTAGGCCCAGAACAACATACTTAGGGAACCTAAACAAATGGGTAACAGGAAAAGATCCGGGAAACGTAGCTTTTTTTAGAGCATCCGAGAAAAGGAATGAATGTAAAACCATGATCGCCGGTGTCTGTGGCAGATCTGGCACTGGTGATGATGATGAGATAGGGGCGTTAAACCTTTACTATTTCACCATTTTTTCAGGACTGTTAAGGGCGTTAAACCTATACCATTTCACCGGGGGGAGGGGGGAGAGGGGGGGTCAGTATTGATGGGGGCGTTAAACCTTTACATTTTCACCATTTTTCAGTGTTGATAGAGGTGCTAAACCTATACGACAATTTCTACTACTATGGCATTGATCAGTTTTGTGCACTCTGTCCTGTCATAGTGCAGCTCAACAGACGTCACGTCACGAATGCGAGTTGATGTTGAGCTGACAGAGCATCATTATTTTGTACCTTTCCTGACTTAGAGTAGGAAATGGGAGAACCTTCAACATTTTCCATCTGCGTTTAACGGGCTTTGGACCGTCACGTTGTTCTATAAAGAGAACATTGTGGCCGCATTAAAAATGTTGCTGATGTTCTTGCAACAGGGATTTTTTGTCACTCAGCTGCGACCTTTTTTTCAGGATTTTCATACCGGGGAGTTTGTAAGTTCGTGAAGTTCTGTATCTTTCTTCATGTCTTCCACTTGTCCTCAAATTCACTGAGGATATTTGGTAGCCCTGAAAAGGACTGGTTTTGTTTATTACCCCTCTTTTTTGTAGCCCTGAAAAGGACTGCTAGTTTTCTGGTAACCCTAAAAAAGGACTGTTTGGCTTTCTGGTAGCCCTAAAAAAGACTGTTTGGTTCTCTGTTAGCCATGAAAAGGACTTTAGCTTTTTTATAAGCCAGAAAAAGGACTGTTTAGCTTTTATAGTAGCCCTGAAAAGGACTGTTTGGTTATTATAGTAGCCCTGAAAAAGACTGTTTAGTATTTATAGTAGCCCTGAAAAGGGCTGTTTAATTTTCTGGTAGCCCTGAAAAGGACTGTTTAGTTATTATAGTAGCCCTGAAAAGGACTGTTTGGTTATTATCGTAGCCCTGAAAAGGGCTGTTTAGTTTTTATAGTAGCCCTGAAAAGGGCTGTTTAGTTATTATAGTAGCCCTGAAAAGGGCTGTTTAATTTTCTGGTAGCCCTGAAAAGGACTGTTTGGCTTTCTGGTAGCCCTGAAAAGGACTGTTTAGCTTTTATAGTAGCCCTGAAAAGGACTGTTTGGTTATTATAGTTGCCCTGAAAAGGACTGTTTAGTTTTTATAGTAGCCCTGAAAAGGACTGTTTAGTATTTATAGTATTTATAATTTTCTGGTAGCCCTGAAAAGGACTGTTTAGTTATTATAGTAGCCCTGAAAAGGACTGTTTGGTTATTATCGTAGCCCTGAAAAGGGCTGTTTAATTTTCTGGTAGCCCTGAAAAGGACTGTTTAGTTTTTATAGTAGCCCTGAAAAGGACTGTTTAGTATTTATAGTATTTATAATTTTCTGGTAGCCCTGAAAAGGACTGTTTAGTTATTATAGTAGCCCTGAAAAGGACTGTTTGGTTATTATCGTAGCCCTGAAAAGGGCTGTTTAATTTTCTGGTAGCCCTGAAAAGGACTGTTTGGCTTTCTGCTAGCCCTGAAAAAGACTTATTTCTTTGGTCCAAGGGGACTGCTTTGTTTTCTTCTTCTTCTGTTAGGAAAAAGATCTTTCCGTTTTGTGCCCAGTTGTGAGGGGCGGTCAGAGGTCAGAGGTCAGAGGTCAGAGGAGGGTCCGTGGTGGGAGCCTGGTCCGAATGCCGAGTGAGGGGTGGTCAGAGGAGGGTCCGTGGTGGGAGCCTGGTCCGAATGCCGAGTGTGGAGGGGTTGGGGGGTCCGTGCGCCAACGATGGTTCAGCCCAAGAGCCAGGGTTCAGGGAACTCTGTGATTTCCCCGTTACTCTTCTCTACCTGGTGACGGAGGAGTCCCCGCCCTGTGTAGGAGATGCTGGGGTTCCACGGGTCTCTTGGCGGGGGTTCGGACCTCGGCGAAACGTTGAGCACCGGTATCGGGTGTCCGGTGGTGGCGACTGGGTGGAGCGTGAGTGGGTCGAACTCGAATATCTCGGCGAAGAAGTCGGGAGAAAACAGAGTGTGAGCCGGGTCCTGTTCACAGCAGCAGCTGTCTTCCCGCTCTCCGATCAGCACGGGGATCCTGTTGTCTGTTTCCCCCGGTGTGGAGACGTTAGGACTGAGCTGTTCTGGAGAGGAACCTGTCGTCTGTGACTGCCAGGAAGAGTTTGCTGAAATATCGCTGGAAGCGTCTCTCGTTTCTGATGACGAAGAAGAACTCGCAGAAGACAGTAAGCGTGGCCGTGCCTCGAGAGTGTGCCGCTCCATGATGTCTCGGATTTGGAACATCGTTGCTCGTTCGCTGGGAGACAGGGCGAGAAGACGGGTGAGACACTCCCGGTTAACTGGCTCTAGTCGGGATGATCTCTTCACCGTCGTCAGAATGTAGCCACGAAGGTGAGAGGGTCTGTTTCCCAGTAGAATACACCAGGACAAGACACCAAACGAGTAACTCTCCATCTTGAAGGCGTTCTGCTCCATCGAGTGATCATCCAGCTCTGGGGCGCGATATTCTGGAGTACCGGTCCAGCTGTTGGGCTTGTCAGACTCTCGGGGTAAAACCTGAGCCGATCCGAACCCACAGAGTTTGAAGACGCTGTTTCGGTCAGTAAGAACGTTGGCCAGTTTCAGGTCTCCGTGGACGATGCGTCTTGTGTGCAGGTAACATATGGCATCGGTGAGCTGTGTGACACAAGACTGCGGCTCATCGCCTGTCATCTCGTCCAGGTACAGGTGGAGAGCGAACGGCAAAAACTCGGTGAACAGTGCCTTGTAGCTCGGCCCCTCGACAGCCAGGGACATCCGGACGATGTTTGTGTGTCTAAGAGACTGCAGCACGGACACTTTGTGGCGGAATCGGTCCACTCTCCTTTTCCGTCCATCTCTCGATTCGCCGCTGAAGGAAAAGTTGTGGATGTTGATCATGGCGAACTTGTCTAGCTTGCGACCTTTCTTGTTCACCCTGTGCACTTGCTTGTAGGTCTCCCGAAGCATGGTCCGTCCTTCCTCCATGTCGAGCGCGGGCAAGGCATCGCCGTCGAGGGTCTTGAACCTTGGTTCCTTGAGTTTGTGCATCTTACTCATGGTGGCGCTGTACGTGAAAGAGTAACGTCGATGAGAAAGCTTTCGAATGTATAAGCAAGAAGCTGGTTGCAGAGAGTGAACTGGCTTGCAGAGCGAATACAGTCGAATGAAGAGTGGCTAGCATGTTGAGCTTATATATGCGGGGACCCATACCCCGTTAGATTTGACACCTCTGGGAAGTAGACAAAGACAGCGAGTCTCAACAACAGTTGTTTACTGACAGTTATTTTAGCACGTCAACACACAGAGACTGGCCCCTCACTGAACAAGCAAAATTTTCTGACCACGGCACGCGTCACCGAGGCCAATCAGCAGACCTATTCTTTCCTCACCGCTCTATCCCTCGGTCGGCGTCGCCTTTGAAATAGTAGACAAAAGGAGAATTTAAATTCAAAGTTCAAGTCATATCTTTATACCTTGTCCGATGTTTACACATTGACTGCCCACCGTGGACACGACGGCCTAATGAACTGTATTGACGTAGACAACAATGCATACCGCCATTGATATAACCAGAGGAACGGTTGATATTTTGCGGTGGCCTGAGGCGATTTATCGGACAATGTTATATCTTCACAACTCGTCCAACGTTTACAGTTTGTTTATTAGACGTTCACAGGACACCCGGAAGACATATGTAACAATTAGCAGTTGCGAGCGCCGTAAAACCCTATACTATACATACATACTATAAATGCAACAATATAATCGAGTTGAAAAAAAATAAGCATACCGTGATAATCCCTGTGTGTGGAAATCTTCATAGTCGTCAATATTCCTACCCTCCTCCCATGGGCAGCTTGCTTTGTACTTGAATAAAAGGTTGGAAAGCAGGAGCTAACTTTGTAATTTTGGAGATTCAAAACAAAGATATCTGTACGATGGCTCGTTTTATCATTGGTATTCAGTATATTGTATTGATTTGCATCCTTTTACCTTTTTCTGTTGGTCCTAAATTTAGGAAACCTTACCGAAACTTAATTTTGAATGTAAAACATTTTAGCGAGCTTTGTAAAGATCGAATTGAATTTTTCAAACGTTATTTTATTTTTCAAATGAAAATAATCCTTGATGACTGTTTTTCTGTCTTTCTATTTCTGAGGGGTATGAGGAAGGGGTGGGGGGGGGTCTTTTGCTTTAAAA